CCCGTCTTGGCTGTGGCTGTGGGGGGGTTTGGCCCTCCTGCCGCTGCCGGGCAGGGGGGGCTGCACAGGCGGTTGGGGGGGGTTGGGTCCTGTCCCAGCTCCCGCCTCCTCCGCGGCCCTCCCGGAGCGCGGCGCGGGCGGGGGGTGGGTTTTCGTCTTTCGGACAAGGCTTGTCAGGTGTAAAAAGCTCCAAATGGAGATATGGGAAGTGTGTAAAGCGAGCTGTTCTTTTCTGAATGGATCCCAGGGGCTGTGGTCACTGTAGGTCGGTGCCTTCGTGTGGCCTGAGTGCATTTTCTGACGTTTTTTGTAACATTTTTAGACTGGGGTATTACTAGTTGTTTAATTTTATTAAACTAGTCTCTGTAAGCCACAGTGTGGACAAATGCACCACTGCTGTATGTGCAGGCACAAAGCTTTCCTTCCTTCACTGCCTGGCAGGCTAATGAATGAACTGGCAGCAGACTATGATCTGTTTAACTCACAGAACTTGGGAGGGTGTGAAAAGTAGAAGGGTTGGCTCTGCCAGGCTTGTGCTCAGTTCTGCAAAGCAACCCTTTTCTCAGATAAATTGTGGCCTTTTGGGGCTCTCTGTGGGCTGGAGGGGTTGTACCCACAGCTGGTTGCTACCTGAGTCAGGAGGGGTTTATTAGCTTATATACCCAGGTGTACCTAACTATTGGGAGTTATTAGGTAGAAATTATGTTGAGAGGTCTATTGGAAATAATAGGTCTTATTGTTCTTTGAATAGTGGGTCTATTATTCTTACTATTCTCTGGCACCATGTGTCAGAACTTGCAGCTGACTTTCACTGTCATAGTGAGCTATTTGGATGATGCCATTCTAAAAATAAGTTAATGAGTGTTCTTGCTTTTGCAGTCTCTGTGGGGAGGACTGTTGGGGTTAATTCCAGATTGGTATCATGTTGCTACATCAAATAATGATGTCTCTAAAATATTTTTTTAGCAAACTTTTTTTTTTTTTTCCCCAGACCTTTTGTAGAGAATCTCATTTTTTCTAGATGCAAATGGCAGGGTCAGGATTTGATCTGTGATACTTTATAGCACAAACTGGCTTTTCTCTACAAAATTCTCAGGTAGAAACAAGAAGCCAAGGGTGAATGTTCTGAAGACCTGCAGTAAATCAGTGTGCCTCATGTGGAGGTGTCGCAGGTTTCACCCACTTTTGTGTTCCACTTAGAGTGGGGGATGAAACTGTAATGGAAGGATTTGTTTGGAGTAGAGCATCATATGTAACTGAAAAAAATATTGTTCTGTGCTGTCATTAGGTTTCTTTCTGCTAACTGGAGGTGTCCAAGTAGCAAAATTAAATTAACCTAGTAAACTGATAGAAGTTTGTAAGTCTTGCCATGTTAGTTGTCATCCTCTTTGGGTCTTCTCTAGGTTCTTCCAGGGCATCTGAAGCTGGGCTGCTAAAAACTAATGTTCCTTGAATCAGTTTTCTTGTGTCACTGTGAGATCTGCTCTGAGTTAAGAAGATCTGCTCTGCAGGTTTGGAGAGTTGTGAGATAAAATAGTGTTGGTCATTAAAATACTTTCTGCCTTTTCCCTTTGTGTACAGGAGCAGCAGAGAATTATGGACAATTCTTTTGGGCAGATCAGCTTTAAGAGAACCAGTAAGTCCCTGTCTTCCTAAGCTGGTTTATCCATCACTGAATGGACTCCATAGTTTAATATGTCATTTGTACATTGAATATTAGTGAAAACAGGTTTTGCTGCTTTTCCCCCTTCATTCCCGTGGCTTTTGTTTCTCCATCTCTGCTCCTTGTTCATTCTTCCACTCCTTGTTTGTAGCTGCTTCATGAACTACCTGGAAAGGTGTATGTGAGAAGGTGGTTCCCTTTCTGGAGCAGACACAAGTGCTGCTTTCTAGACTGGCTGGCCTGGGGTACATGAGTGGTGCAGCCTCCTTATTTTCTGGGATGGAGCCTGTGCTTTCAAGAATTTGGCCAGAGGTTGGAAATCCAAATGTTTCTGAACCTTTGCCTCCAGTTCCCTCTCCCTTCCCATGATTAGGCAGGGAGCTTCTTCTTACAACGTGCACCTTGAATCAGTCTGAAGCAGAGATGCTGTCTGATGTTGTTCCTGTCTCCTTGTGGTGGTGGAATTTCTTTTGCTTCACTTAAATTTAACTGGTCTGATGCTCAGCAGTCTGTTGAGGAATCCCTTCAGCAGTATTTGGTTCTTTTTTTTAGGCACAGATTGCAGCAGAACTGAACAATCACTGGCAGAGGCTGTTAGAGGGACTTTCATACTATAAACCCCCAAGGTACAGTCAATTGTCTGATTCTAGAAATTAACCTCTGAAATGGGGCCTTCTAATAAGTAGGGGAGCATATTGAATGTTTCTCTCTGATTACATTCAGGTAGATTTTTACTCTTTTGCATGACTTGAGATTTCAGAAGAGGAGTAGTAAGATAAACTATTTAATCCACATAACATTATGGGGCATGAAATACAGACCCGAAAGAAGTAAAAGCAGTTTCTGTTGTTATTACTGATGTTTGGTAGCC